TTTAGTCCTAAGGATTCACCCTCCGCTCACTCTTGCTTTTGCTTAGCACAATACATGACACTTGATGTAATGAAGTAAGTTCACTAGATTACTAATAATGAGCTGTCTTCATGTTAGAGATCTTGGTACCAAGCCATAGAAACTAACTTGTTTTAACAGAGAATTTACTAAAAGGACATGAGAGAGATCACAGAATGAATATGAGGCTGGAGGACAATGCTTCAGAATGAACAGAGAGCAGGAGAGCTCTGATAAGTTAGGGATAGGAACAATAGCCATGGTCTTTGTAGCATGAAGCATCTCCTCAGCATGCTGCCCTGAGGAAAGAAAACCCACATTCCACTTTCTTCTATACTTAGGCAATGGTCTCCAGAGGCAGAAAGTGTGATTGACCAAGATCAGATTACAGGCTCATGGCTGGGCTCTATCAGGAAGTGGGAGAAAGGAGGGAGGACTCTAACCTATCACCTTCTGTAGTGGAAGCTTATACCCAAGACCATCCTTCCTACATAGTTGTACGCAAAGGAGTAGTGGCAATTTTCTGAAAAGAAGCCAGGGGATTACTGGGAAAGAATGAATGCCAGACAGCAAAAAATAGCTCATGTGTATTAGTCCACCTTACTAATATTCTTGATATCAGCTATAGTCTGTAGTCCAACCAGTTTTTACTTAGCCTGTATAGACCTTAAAATAATGATCTGAGTTGTTCCACTTTGCCATTCCTCTTCTATATGAGGTCTGAAGACAGCCTTCCATGTATTTATCCTGCACTTACGAGGAGCTGGGACTATTGTGGCCTCAGCGTCAGACACTAAAATGAGTTACCTTTATTTAGTTTTACATTTGTTGTACATATTTATAGTACATAATAATTACATTCATTTTAGGAAGTTGGTATATATACATAGCATTTCTTAATTCTCTTTTTTAACCCCCTTCCCTCCCTTTTCTCCCCCTCCCTTCATCTCTTGGACTCCTGGACCCTTTCATTCACATAGTCATTTATATGCATTGGTACATGTACACAGCACTTCACAAAACCCCTGTTTTAAAATCTCATTTCCCTCCCTCCATATCTTAGTTCCTTTCCCATATGCCAAAGATTCATCTCATTATTTCCTATTCTCTTTCATTTTGCACTTTATTTATATATTGGGATTCCAATATAAGAGAAACCATGCAGTATTTAAGTTTCTGTGTCTGATTTACTTCACATAACATTATGGTCTCAAGGTGCATCCATTTTCCTATAAATTACTCAAACATCCTTTTTGTGGCAAAATAATATTCCACTGTGTACAAATACCACATTTTGCCTATTCATATGTTTGTTGATGAAAACTTAGGATACTTCTAAGCTTTAGCTATTATGAATTGTGCCATTATTAATATGGGTATGCTTGTATCACTGTTGTATGATGTCTTTAAATCTTTCAAAAAGATGACTAAAAGAGGAATAGCTGGATCAAATGGAATTACTATTTTTAGTTTTTTGAAGAATCTCCATACATCTGGGCATGGTGGTGCACGCCTGTAACCCCAGCCCTCAGGAGGCTGAGGCACAAAGATCGTTGCATGTTCAAGACTCACCTGGGCTACAAACTGAGCTCAAGGCCAACCTGAAGTGTGTAGCAAGACCCTATCTCAAAAAGACAAAAAAAGAATCTCCATACTTATTTCCATTGTGATTGTACCAGTTTGCATCTAGCATGCCCATCAGCAATGAAGAATGGTTCTTTTTCCCTGCAGCCTCTCCAACATTGGTTATTATTTGATTCATGAAAATAGCTATTCTGTCTGAAGTGAAATAGAATCTTAGTGTTCTTTTAATTTGTATTTCTAAAATGACCAGTGATGTTGAACATTTTTTCCTGTATTTATGGCCATTTGTACTTTCTCACCTAAGAAATGTCTATCATTTCAGATGGAAACTTGTAATTTGGTTTTTAAATTTGACGGGTCTAATTTTTTTTAGTTTATATTTTCTAGCTATTACTCCTTCAATAAGTAGCTGGTGAAAAATAATTTCCCCTTCTCTAGGTTGTCTCTTCACTGTTGGTGGTTACCTTTGCTATTCAGAATCTTTTTAATTTGATATGATCCCATTTGTTGATTCTTATAATTTCTTGTGCAATCAGGGTTCTGTTCAGAAAATCTTTGCCTACACCTTTGTCTTCAAGAGTTTAACCTATTTTGTTTTCCAACAGATTAAATGTTTCTGTTTCAATATTTAGATCTTTGATCCATTTATATTGATTTTGGTTTAGTGCATGGTGAGAGATACTGGTCTAAGATCTATCTTCAGCATGTGGATAGTCAGTTTTCCCAGCATTAATTGTTAAAGAGGTTCTAGTGAAAGTATTTGGCCCCTTTGTTAAAGATAAAGTAGCTGAATGTGCCTAGAGTTGTTTCTTTATCCTCTGTTGTGGTCCATTGATCCACAAGTATTTTTTGCCAATACCACACTGTTTTTATCGTATAGCTTTATAGTATAACTTGAAGTCTGAGATTGTAATGTCTCCTGCCTTGCCCTTGTTTTTCAGGGTTGCTTTTGCTGTTCTAGGTGTCTTCTGGTTCCATATGAATTTTAGGATTTTTTTTTCTAGTTCTGTGAGGAATACTATTGGGACTGCATTAAATCTGTATAACAGTTTTGGAAATATCACTATTTTGACCATATTGATTTTGCTTATCTAGCAACAGGAGATATTGTTTCATTTTCTAATGCCTTCTTCAGTCTCCTTTTTCAGAGTACTGCAGATTTCATTGTAGCTGTCTTTCACTTCCTTGGTTAGACCAATTTTGAAGTATTTCTCTTAACTTGATGTTACTGTAAAAGGTATTGTTTCCCTAATTTCTCTCTCAGCAAGTTTATTATTGGTGTATAGGATCATTAATTTTTGAGTGTTGGCTTTGTATCTTGTTATTTGGTTATTAATTCTCGGAGTCATTTGGTGGACTTTTTGGGTCTTCTATGTAGAAGATCATGTCATCTGCAAATAATGGTAGTTCACTTCACTTCCTGTCCATATTCCTTTTCTTTCTCTTGTCTGATTGTTCTGGCTAGTACTTTAAGAACTATATTGAACAGTAGTGGTGGTAGTGGAAATCCTTGTCTTGTTCCTGGTTTTATAGGGAAAGCTTTCAGCTTCTATTTAGTGTGATGTTGACTGTTGGATTTTCATAGATGAATTTTACCTGATAGTGATAAAGACCCTTTATACCTATTTTCTTCAGTGTTTTTTTTTTTTTTTTTTGGTTTTTCTCCGGTACCGGGAACCGAACTCACAACCTTGCGCTTGCCAGGCAGGCGCTTTTGCCGCTGAGCTAAATCCCCAGCCCCTTCTTCAGTGTTTTTATCATGAATGAATGTTGGATTTTGTCAAGTGTTTTTCCTGCATCTATTCAGATGATTAGGTGATATTGTCCTTATTTCTGTTTATGTGGTATATATTTTCTTAGTTCAGCTTCTGTAGTTCATATGTATCTAATTTCTTCTGAAGGATTTGTTTCTTCATTTTTTTTTTTTTTTGTACTGGGAATCGAACTCCGGACCTTGCGCTTGCCAGGTAGGCACTTTTGCCACTGAGCTATGTGCCCAACCCAAGAAGAAAAATTTGAAACCTTAAACTATATAAAAATGAGGAGAGAGAAGAGACAAAGGATCCTATTGGAGAGTAGAGGGATATTCATAGAATTAGGTAAAGGTAACAGAAGAAGTTGATGAGGAAAAAAGAAATTATGTGGAGAATAAAAATAAGAGAGAAAAAAATTAAAGGGAGGAAAAATTTAAAAGAACAGGAAAAAGAAGAAATAAGCAAGGAAAAAGGACAAAGAAAAATATATCAAACCTCAATAAACTAGTAAAAAAAAAAAAAAGAAAGAAAGAAAAAATACTACTCAAGAAAAGAAATGGAAAAATTTTCTTGTGAGTTTGACCACATGGCTTTTCTCCCAGGATCTGTAATTTTGAGGCAGTGTCCAAGTCAAGATATGCCCTTGCTAATGCTGGTAGATAAAGAAAGCAATCAGATCCCAGATACATGCTGAATACAGGCATCAGCAGGCCATAGGGTGAGGGTGCCAATGCCTCAACTTGCAAATCCAGAGCAACTCAGGCTGGGCCTGGCCTCTGGCCTTTGCAGCAGGGCCTGTGTCCTTTAATTCAAACCGTCAGGCTGTCTCTTTTCAACTGCGGCCTGACTGTGGCTGTATTTTACCCAGTCACTGTGGAAATGTGGCACTGAGAGCACTAGGGGTGGAGCTATACAGCTACTCTGGCTCCTGGGTTCAAACAATTAACTCTTCCCCAGGATGGCATCCAGGCAAGCACTTTCTCCAGGGATGTGGCAGGCGCTTATACTAGAGTCACTCACCACCTGTTGCCTGTAGAAGGACTCACTGGGAGTACAGTCCCACACTCTCCCTGCAAATCACAGCAGCCACCAGTCTGGTCCATTCTGCTGTTACATTTCTCCTTGAGGCCTCCTGCGGTCCCCAGCATTCACTTTCTCTCCATAGGTTCAGTCTCCACAAGCTGGAAGATGGGGAGAAAGTGCAGACAGTCTCTTCCCTTCTCCACATTGTGTTCTATTTCCTCAGTTTCTCTGTACCTTTTAATTTTCCTGCCAGATCCCTCCTGGTTCCCAGGGATCTATATCTTTTTTCGTCTCCAAGTTGTTTTCCTGTGTTGGGATTCTAAATCTCAGAGTCTCTGATTTATTTTTAAAATAAGTAGATATTAATCAAAAGGTATGGTTTCTTTTAAATTAAAAACAACTAACACAGATCTGGGGAGGTATGCTGATCTTATTAAAATTAGGTCTGTGTAAGTACAATATGTTTACTTTCTATCAAAGAGAATGCTCCTGACACAGTAAAAGATTCCTGTTACTTTGAAAATGACTGTCTTAGGTTAGTTGCTTCTTGTGTTTTTAGAATGCCATCCTTACTTTAGGTATTACCCTTTACAATTGATTCGCTTTGCTCTTATGTTCCAGGGGAAAACTTATCCTTTTCGGGGAGCATTTCCTCCTGTATGGAATCCTCTTGCATATTTGGATTACAACAATCTGTGGCGGACAATGGATGACATGGGAAAGGAGGTAAAATATGTGTTGTGTTTGCACATAACCAATTGCAGAAACAACAGTGGCAAGTATTTATTATCTTTCCATGCGTAAGGGAACATTGCTTTGGACATTGATACACATCATTTCCACTGCACTCAACAATTCTGCAGACCTGGTAGAATTTCCACAACAAATGGAGACAGTGATTACCAAGTGGTTATATAATTTACCCAAGTCGACACAGCAAGAGAACCAGGGTTCAGACCAATCTTTACTGATGATAATACTTATGTGCTTTCAATTGTATGCCATTAAGCATTTTTTTTTTTTTTGGTTTTTCTCAGGTACCAGGAACCAAACTCACGACCTTGCACTTGCCAGGCAGGTGCTTTGCCGCTGAGCTAAATCCCCAGGCCCCCATTAAGCATTTATATGATACTTTTTAAAAAATACTTAATTCTCTCCACAGTTCTGGTCACAAACCAAATTAGATGAGAACCAAATCAAATTTCTCCATAAAGTCAACATTGAACCTAACCATTGAATTTGATTCAGTTCTTACCCAATTTGGTTTGCAGCCAGAATCATGGAAAGAAGTTCATGAACTGAGGTACTACTGTATGTCTGTTTACAGTTATATTGTCCAGTTGTAGTGCCACTTTAAATAGTAAAAGCATAAAGGATTTGCAGCTTCAAAGTATTTTTTATATAATCTTATGCAGTAGTACCTTGGTTCATGCACGCTTTTATTTGCAAATAATTTGGTTTGCAAACAGAAGTGTTTGGTCAATTTCTGATTTTGTTTGCAAACTGTATCAGGTGACAAACACAACCATGGCCATCTCTCTCACACAAACACAAATATGGCCATCTTTTCCAAAACCATAGAACAAATTAAGTTCATGAACCGAGGTACCACTATACTCTGTAACACACTTTCTTAAACTTGAGTCTGAGACCTTAAATGAATATTAGCTTTCAATAATAATAGTGATGATGATATTGATAATAATTATCATCGTCCTACTTGTAATTACATATAAATGTATACATGTTTTTATAGAGTTATTATTCCTTTGACAATAGCATTAAGGTATGAAATCCAAAGAGCTGCCCACCTATGCGTAGAATTCCAAGTCAATCACACATTCTAACAGGGACCAAGAAACTAGTGTTCAGAGGTTCTCATAAAGTCCTCCCTGATGTGTAGTGGTGGAAACTGTCATTGTAATTGAGTGTGGGACCTCCTTGCCTTTCAGATTCCAGCTGATGCACCCTGGGAGGCCCCACATGCCCGGGAGTGGGACAAGATGACCATGAAAGATCTCATCGATAAAATCTGCTGGACAAAGTATGCTGGATGATTTAAAATTTACTTTTTCTTCTTTATTTCTCTGGTATTAGGACTAGAGCCTTTGCACTGAACTACATCCTTAGCCTTTTTTTAAAGACAGGTTCTAGCTGAGTTGCCCAGGCTGGGATTAAACATGTGATCCTCCTGCTTCAGCCTCCCAGAGTGTTGGGATTACATGCTTGTGCCAGCATGCTCAGATTAAAATTTATTTTTTATCTTTCCTTCTGATCTTTCTGTCCTGTCTGGAGATGTAGTGGTTTTCTTAATGACCTATAGAGATAATGTTAAGAAGAATTCTAATAATCTTTCAATCAGTAGCAACTCTGAGGGCACATTAGATACTTCAGAGCTGGCTTAAACAGAAAATGAATGAAAAACCTAAGTAGGTACCACCTAAGTAGGTACCACCTAAGTAGGTACCTGGAAGCAAACTTCTTTTAATAAAAGGGTCATATGATCTGTAATAAAACCAGTAATTATGTTTTTATAGTATATAAAGACTGCCTACAGAAGTAGTTTCCAAAGACATTTAAAAAGTAATTCCATATAGATATAAACTACTAGGAAATAGATGAAAAGATAGTCTATATTACTGACCAATATAAACTATATTATGGTTTCAGTTAGAATCTTATTAGTTTAGTAATTTCTAGTTCACTAGTATAGTCATGATTTAATGACTTTACAGGGATACCCCCTGAGAAATGCACTGTTAAATGATTTCATGTTTATATGAACATCCTAGAGTATACATAGACTAAAATGGCTATAGCATCACTAGTACATATAATCCTATGGAACCACCATCTTATATGTGGTAGATTGTGGACCAAAGTGTCATTATGCAGCACAGGACTGTATGTATTTTGCATGTATTTTTATTTATTAATACATACAGTATTTATGTACTTATTCTTTGTTTTGGACCTACTATGTGAAGGCACTGTACCAGACACTGACAAGAATAGTAATGAACTTGCTAGGATAATTTTCTACCCTTATAAAGTTTATATTCTAGCAAACAAGGTTAACATTGTATGCATAGTTACATAATGCTAGGAGAGTGTCTGCAACAAGGTGAACCTTACCCAGTCTGAGGTAAAAGAATTCTTTGACACAGTCTTTAATCTGAAACTAAGGAGTCAGGGCATAAACCAAGAATGAGCACAGGGGCAGGGAGAGATGGAAGGATGGGCAGTTTTGGAGGGTGTTTTCTTCCAGGAATGACCCAAATGGCAAGAGAGATGGCAGGGTAGTTTGGTATTGGGTAAGATGGTATCTTCGGGCCGGGGATTTAGCTCAGTGGCACAGCACCTGCCTGGCAAGTGCAAGGTCCTGAGTTCAATTCCTGGTACCAAAAAAAAGATGGTATCATCCAGGAATGGCCTAAAGAGGATGAAGAGAAACAGTGAAAGGTGAATATCATAGGGGGTATCTTTTGTGAATGAGCTACAAGGTGGAGGAAGATGATGTGGGAGAATAATATCATTTATTAATGAGCTACAGATGCTCAGAGGAGACAGGGAAAGGTGGATGATGATAATGATGATGATGATGATGGTGTATGTATGTGTGTGTGTGTGTGCTGGAGTACAATATGGTCTCTTCCAGGAATGACCCATAAAGTAATAGTGAAAGCAAGGAATTGTAAATGATATGCGGGGGATGGTATCTTTCTGGAACGACCCCCAGGGGCAAAAAGGACAGGATTGGTAGATGATGTGCCAGGAAGCTATTTACCAGGAGTGATCCATAGCAGGTTTGGTAAGAGAATGAAAAGTAAATGAGGTGAAGATGTATATTCCAAGAATGACCCAAAGTGGCTGAGGGGAAACAGGGAAAGTTAGACGAATGGAATGACCTATGGAGCAAATGGAAGCTGGATGGAAGGATGGTATTGGAGAGAGGCTGTCTTTCAGGAATTATACAGTGAGCGGGGTCTGGAAAACAGGAAGGGTTGATGTTGATTGTGGGCTCATATTTTCCAAAAATGAGCTAGGGTCAGAGGGTCTATCCAGAAAGATGAGATGGAATGGCAGTGTGGTATCCCCAGGAATGAGAGAGGCAGAGGGGAGAGTTAGAGTAGAAGATGAACGATAGTATCTTACAGAAATGTGCCAGAGGCTGGAGAGAAGACAAAGAAGCTTGGATATGGGGTAATACATTCTTGCAGCCACAGGTGCAGGAGGAAACAGAAAGGGTGGACAAGGTTATCTTCCAGGAATGATGTGTTGGGTTGTAGAGGGGAGACAACACACAGGAAAGTTGGAAGGGTTAATATCTTTCAGGAATGAGACACAGAGGATGCAGGGAAGACAGAGGGAATGGATAATAGGGGAAAGGGGATAGGATCTTTCAAGATGGATGGACAGGGACTTTCGGAACTCAGGTAAGGGTAGATACAAAGAAGATGGTATCTTCCCGGGATGAACAGCAGTATCAGGAAGAGACAGTATGGGTAGATTGTTTGGGGGATATGCCATCTTCCAAATGACCCAAAGGGGCTGGGAGGAAGGAAAAATAGTGATGGTGGGGCGTGTAAATAGACGGAAGTATCTTCCAGGAATAAGGCATAGAGAGGGAGGAGACATAGAGAAGGGTAGATGGGAGGTGGTATCTTCCAGGAAAGACCCACAGTGTCTGGGAGAGACAAGCTAGATGGTGTAGGGGGGGTGGTATCTTCCAAGAATTACCCAATGGGACAAGAAAGGTGAATTTTGTGGCAGGTTAGTATTTTCCAGAAATGACACAAAGAGGCTAGAAGGAAAGAGGAAAAGTGTAGATATTAAGGGTGAGATAGTATCTTCCAGGAATAATCCACAAGAACAGTGGGGTAATGGGAAGATGGGCAGTGGGGAACGAGGATACTATGTTCCAGGAATGCATAGCACTGGCTGGAGGGAGATGTGGGGTATGTAGGTGACATGTTACAGAAATGACTCAAGAAGCACAGGGAAGCAGGATGGATAGATTGTAATGAGGCAGGTAGTATCTTTCAGGAATGATCCACTGGACAGTATAGAGGAGAAAGAAAGGGTAGATGTTATAAGTAAGAAATAGTATCTTCCAGGAATTGCCCATGGGGGTAGAGGGCACAAGAATAATGCATTTTTTTTTTTTGTCTTTTTGAGACAGGGTCTCTCTGTGCAGTTCAGGCTGGCCTTGAGCTCACTTTATAGCCCAGGCTTGTCTCGAACTTGTGACGATCCTCCTGCCTCAGCCTCCCAAGTGATGGGAGTACAGATGCACGCCACCACACCCAGAAGACTGGATGCTCTTGGCAGACTACCTTCCTAAAATATTCTGTATTTGTGTGGGGGGAGTGGGGTAGGAAGTATGGAAATTTTGAGGGGTTGGTGGTATCTTCCAAGAATAAGCCAGGGTAATGAGGGAGGATGGCATGAGAAACTGTTATTTTGCAGAAAAGGGGTGCATGGGCCAAACAGGAAAAGTAGATGATTTGGTAAAATAATGGCTTCCAGTAATGACCCACAGGTGCAAGGGAGGACAGGAAAAGTTAGATGATGTAGAACAGTGATGGTGAACCTTTTAGCTCTTTCAATGATAGAAACAGCCTACTGTGGTACGCATGCCATAGGTTTGCCACCGCTTCTATACGGCACAATATTCCCCAGGAGTTGCCCCTTAGGAGTATAGGAGAGATGGTCGGGGTTAGATGTGTGTTCCAGGAATGCCGTATAGTTCTGGAGAACTCAAGAATGTGCATTCTAGGACTGACGCACAGGGGCAGGGGGAGGCTGGAGGGTGGATCATGGAGGATGAGGTATCTTCTAAGAATGTACCATGGGGGGTAGGAGAGGGAGCAAGTGGGGATGTGTTCTTTGGTGTCTCCTGAGAATAATGTATCAAATCATGGTGGAAGGCAGGAAGGTTGTATGGTTTGAGATGGGTGTTATCCTCCAGGAATGACGTACAAGTGGAAGGGGGGACATGATGGGTGTGTGTCTTGGGGAGATGATATCTTCCAGGAATGATCTATAGGGGCTGGTAGAGACAAGCCAAGTGGGACAATTTCAGGGCAAGGTATTTTCTAGGAACTGAACCATGGGGACATAGAAAGGTGATCAGTAAGGGTAAATGCTGGAGCAGGATAGTATATTCTAAAAATCAACCACAGGGATGGGGAAAGGCAGCAGAATGAGTATTGGGTTGTGGGGATAGTGTCTTCCAGGACTGTGCCAAGGAGCTGAGGGAGAAACAGGAAAGGGGAAATGTGGTAGAGGTGTTTATTCCAGGAATGACTGAGAGGGACATGGGGGAGTTAGTTACTTTCGCACTGCTGGGACAAAATACCTGACATCCACAAGTTGAAGGAAGAATGGTTTATTTTATCTTACAGGTTGTAGAGGCTTCAGTCCATAATCAGCCTGCTGCCTGCAGGGGAGCATGGCAGACAGGAATGGCAAAGGAGAAATAGACCATCCATGGCAGGCAGGCAGAAGTCAGTAAACAACAAGCCTGTCTCCTTTCTGTCCCTTCCTATTCCATCCAGGCTATAAGCCTATTGGTTGTCGCTACCCACACCCTGGGTAGGGCTTCCCTCTTCAGTAAATCCATTCAGCCACACCCAGAACTATACAATTCAATTAGGGGACTAATCCAGTTATGGAACATCCCTAGTCCAGTATCACACACATGATCCTGCCACCTCCCAAAACCCACACCCATGATCACATGAGGCTTTGAGAGGGCATCCAGATACAAGCCATAACAGGGAGAGAGGGAAAGTTGGATGATTTAGGGGAGACTGTTATGTTTAGGAACTACCCATAATGGTAGGGTGTTTTGGTAGAGCCAGGATGAAAAGAGATGTTATTTTTAAGGAAAGAGTTAAGGGCCAGGGAAAGTAGGAAGGGTAACTTGTTTAACAATTTGGCATCTTCCAAAGATGGCACTCAAGATTAGGGGAGGGGACATGAATGGGTAGATGTTCTAGGAGAGAAGTAATTCCAGTAATTACTCATAGGGACTGAGGTGAGACAGGTTAGGGTAGACATTGAGGGGTGGGGTAATATCTTCCCAGAATGAACCCTTGAGGGAAGTTGGGAAAGAGGAAGAGTGGACGTTATCTTCAAAAAACAATCCATCTGGTCAAGGATGGATGTAGCAGTATGATATAAGAATGATCTATAGAGCAGAAGAAATCTGGAGGAAGATCATGGAAGGTGAATATGGGCTGAACAGGGATAGGAGAGCAGGAGGTATGGGTGTGACTAATGATATATTCAAGGAAGTATTCACAGGTACAGGGAATCAGGATTTATGAGTGGTTTTGCTAGAATGATATCTTCTAGAAATGACCAATAATGACTGGGGGAGACAGAAAAAAACCAGTACAAATTCATGGGGTTTTATTCCCTATTAATTGATGTATGCAGGCATGGAAAAATCAGTAAGGGTGGTTACTGGGGCAGGATGGTATAGTCCAGGAATGTCCCAATGAGGAGGAGGTGACAGGATTAGTGTCTGGTGTTGGCACAGTGGTATCATCCAGAAGTGTTCCACTGGGTAGGGAGCACAAGCAGGAAGCATGGAATTATAGGGATGGATAGTGTATTCTAACAAGGTGCCAAGGGCATGGAGAAGGGAGAGTAGCTAGCATGGGAAAATGTGATATCTTAAGGAAAGAGCCAGTGTCAGGGAAGAGACAAGAATACTGAATCCTGTGGCAGGACATTATGTTCCAGGAATGAACCAGAGGGATCTGGGAGAGATGGGAGACAGGATAGTAAGGATAATATACTATACTCCAAGAAGGTACCACAGGGGCTGAGGTGGAGACAGGGAGGGGAGATGTGCTGAGGAGTTTGGATAATTTGGAGGGAAGAGAGAGGCACTAGGTCAAAATAGGAGTAAGGAAATATGGAATGTACTTTCCATGAATGACCCAGAGAGCTAGAAGTTGATACAAAAGGGTGTAGCAGAATGGTATCTTTCAGGAATGACCCACAATAGCAGGCAGAAACTGGAGGGTGGATAGTGGAAGGTGGGATAGTATCTTCTGGGAAAGGACCATAAGGGCTGGATGAGATAGATGAGGTATCTTCTAGAAAGTTCCACATATGTCAAGGGGAAAAAGGATTAGTGAATGTTTTGTCCTGTAGGTGCTAGGGAGAAACACAGTAGGCTGATTTCAGAGGATCATATTTTCCAGAAACTGGACAGACAAGGGATGATACCAAATTGCTGAGTCAAAAAAGGTAGCACATTCTAGGAGTAAACCACAGCAGCAAGGGAAAGCAGGAAGGATGGATGATGTAAGACAGTGGTATGTTCTAGGAATGATCCACTGCGTGAAGAAAAGAGACAGGAGGCATCAAGATTGGTGGGGAGTAGTAATTGTATCTTCCAGGATTCAGCCAAGGGTCATAAGGGAGAAGGAAAGGTAGATGGCCTAATGAGATGCTATTTGCCAGGAAAAAGCCAGGGTCAAGAAGAGAACAGAACAAAAAAAATTTTAAATTTTTAAAAATAAGGGAACAGGAAGAGTACATATTGTAGCAAGGTGGTATGACAGGACCAGTGCGTGAACTGGACTAGATGGCTTCTTTCACAAATGACTCAGAGGTATAGGCGAGAGACAGGGAATGTAAGGCAATTGAGGAGCCATATAATCTGGGTATTGGCATGGAAAGTCAGAAAGGCTGGCAGCCAGGGAAGGATGGTATATTCCAAGAAGGACCTACAGTGAGGGGGGGGGGAAGGAAGGGAAGGGAAAATTCCATAGTATAGAGGGATGGTGTTTTCCAAGATTGGTCCACAGTGATAGGGAAGACAGGGTGAATGTGCTTGGTAGAAAATGTTCCTGGAAAGAACCACTGTGTGCGTGGGACTTTCAGGAAGCATGGAAGTTTGGGGAGAGAAGTGGTCTTATTGTCTAGGCATTCAGGGTGATGAGGAAGATGGGAAGGAGAGGGTATAGGGAAATGTTATTTTTCAGGAAATATCGAAGGTCCTGAGGGTAAATAGGTCAAATGGATGGTTTGGCAATTTAGTACTTCAAGGAGTGTTCCACTACAGATAGGGAGAGAAAGGAATGAGTGAGTGTTGGGGTGGGGAATAGTGTCTTCTTGTAATTACCTATAGGCACCTGAGTGAGTCTGGTTAATATGTATATTGTGGAGTGTAATTGTACCTAACAGGAATGAGGCATTCAGTGAGAATGAGACAGAGGAAGAGTGAATGGTAGCTTCAAAGAATGTTTAGAGTCAGAATGGACACAAAAAAATGATACAGCAGGATAGTATCTTCCAGGGATGATCCATGGGGGCAGGGGAAGACTGAAGTGAGGATCTTGGAAGATTTGATGTCTTCTAGGAATATATCAAAGTGGATAAGGAAAGATGAGAGTGTGGTGGATGCTAACTTCCAGAATTTGGGGATAGTTTTGCTGGAATGGAATCTTCTAAAACTGACAATGAGAGAGTGGGTGGGAGAGTGGTATCATTTCATGGGATTATATTTCCTGTTAATTGACCCACAAGCGCATAGGAAATTCCGGAAAGGTTGTTGCTGGGGAAAGATGGTGTATTCCGGGAATGTGCCACAGAGGCATGGAGAGACAGGATGGTGGCTGGTGTTGGAACTATTTCACAGAGTAGGGGAGGGGATCAGGAATGCAGACACTACTAAAGGTGGCATGATCATGGAAGAGAACAGAGGGTGGTTGGCATAAGAAAAAGTGGTGTCTTTCAAGAAAGAGCCAGGATCAGAGGAAAAGACAGTGCAGTGTGTGGCAGGATGATATATTCCATCAGGGGTGTAGGGAAGAGACAGCAGTGTGGGTTTTGGGTCGTCAGAATACTGTCCATCAGGAGTGTGGCTGGAAGGCGAAAGATGAAAATTTAGGTTTGGTGGAATGGTGTAATCCAAGAATGACAAGGGATTGGGGTGAATTAGGGAAAATTGGATGATTTAAGGGCTTGGTATCATCTAGGAATGACCCATGGGGGATCAGGAAAATTATATGATGTAGGGCTCATGGTATCTGTCATGCATGAATAATAGGGATGTGGTAGAAAGAAGGAATGTAAATGTTAAATGGAGGGAACTTAATGAGTTCCAGAGGCTGGGCTGAGAGAGGAAGCATAAACGGTGTGAGGAAATGGTATCTTTCAGGAAAGAACCGGGGAGGGGTGGTGTACAAGAGTGTACCCTATGACAGGATAGTATCTTCCAGGAATGACTCACAAGATTGGGGGAGACAGAAAAGGTAAGGATCGCGTCTTCTAGGAATCATCCATGGGGACAGGAAGAAGTAAGATTGGGGGGTCTTTTGCAGGAGTGACCCACAGGGTGGAAGGGAAGAGACAGAGAGCAGTGAATGACATGAGTGGATGTTATCTTCTAGGCACAGAGAACAGGGGACACCTTTTTTGAAGGCTCTAAGATGGAAAGGAGATTGGCAGGTTTTAGCCACTGAATAGTCAGTATATGCCTGGATCACAGAGGTGACAAGGGCAGGTAGCGTAAGGCAAGGTTCAAGTACTGGTGAAGCAGTCTGTGACATAGTATGTATTGGCTACACTCAAGATTTGACCTTTCTCCATTTTAGGCTATTGAAGGGTTTTAAGTGTAAGATTTTTTGAGGTTTGCACCTTTAAAAGACCTCATTATGTAAAGTATGGAAAAAATGCAAGAGAATGACCAGGTAGTAGCTACCCCTTTTGTGGTCCAGGTGAGGAAGAGTAGTAGCCTAGACCAGAGTCAAGACAGATGAGATGGAGAGGAGACAGAAAATAAATTTGTTTGTTAAAATAATCGAGAAGTATCCCTGGCAAGTATATTGACCCTTTAGTCAGAACCATGATTGACATATTTGGAGGTTACCTGTAAGTTTTTAATAGTAAGAGAAACCTATGTTTTCCTCAAGAGTTAAAAAATACATTCCTTTGGAAATGGAGCCCATGAAGGTATTTTTACCTGAAGGCAGTAGAAATACGTTATAACCATACATCATTATTTTGAAAATGAGCATTCTTCTGACTCCTGTGTGGATTTTTCCCTCTTGTGCTATGAACAGGACTGCTAAGCAGTTTGCTACTCTGTTTGTGAATATCAATGTGACCTCTGAGCCCCATGAGGTCTCTGCTCTGTGGTTCCTGTGGTATGTGAAGCAGTGTGGTGGTACCACTCGGATATTCTCAGTCAGCAATGGAGGCCAGGTATGGCATGTCTATTTTGAAACTGCAACTTTATTTGTGGTTTTGCCCTCACCTAGAGCATTGTTTTAATAATTGTTTCAGTATTCTCAAACGTGAATAATTAGCAGTATAAAAGGAACTGAAAAAACATGTCAAAAAAATCTCATTTCTTGTTTTCATTCCTGAAAAGAGGTTGAAATCTAAAGAATGTCTTATTTTGAATTAACTAGGTCTTGGAAATAAGTTTCTTTCTTTAAGCAGTAGAAAAATTGGGCTGTTTATGTAGGAGAAGCTAAATTTTTAAAATAGGTGAATTTCAAAAAACTAGTACTGTACAATTATATTTAAAGTTATCCCTGTTGTAGACATAGGGCTTTTGTCCCATTTGTTTCTTTTGTTATCGTATATGTTAACTGTTATAGAATGAAAATGACTGTTCTAATTCATATAAATGATTTATGACCACTCCATAGTAAATTCTACAGTTTGAATTCTGAATTTTTGTTGTCCACATGGATTTTCCTGGCTTTCGTACCACTTCTGTTACTAACAGGTGAACTCATTTGATTCATTCCTGGCCACTGACAAGTTGATGGCAAAACCAGAATCCTAGTTCCCCGATTCCTCAGACTCTGAGATTCTTTATTTCAAAGCCCTTCCATATCAAGAGAGAATGAGTTTGTGTTTTCTAGGAATGTTATGTCTGGGTGAGGTGAGGTTTAATTAATAGCAGTTTACTTCTGACTTAGGCTCTGTTCTTAGCGTCCAAGAATGCTGGATGCATTGTACAAGGTAAAGAGTGTTCCTCCATTAAGTGAACTATACCTCTCTGTAGATTACCAGAAGTTCCTAAAATGTTCTCATGACACCAGTAGTTATTACTCATTGGACCCTTGGTATTTACAAATGTGAGACAGTTGTATTTTTTGTGTCTTCACTTACAGAAATCTCACATTACTCCTTTATAAACCCAGGTTTTACTTTCTGAGGCATCTTGACTCATGCCTGCTACTTGTATGCTACACTCAGAGGAGCCAATGTACTTCTAGATAATCCCTACATGACCTTTTGGAAAGTACAGTTCTGATATCAATCTCAAGCCATTATCATAATATCTTTATAAAGAACTTAAGTTTACCTTTTAACAGTTTAATTCAACAAGCATTTAACATGGAAGAGTAGATAATGAACAAAACAGAAATAGTTCATTGTTTTTCACTACACTAAAATTCAAAGCAACTCTTGGAAAATAGGTCAGATTATAAATTAAATGGCACCAAGGAGAGATAAATCGGGAATTTATATCTGAACCACTACAAGAATATTTTTATAAAGAACTTTGGTGGTACCATTAAAACACTAACCAGTTATAGAAGTACAAAAATTACATGGCTATTCATTATCTAGGTACCTAACTGTCAGTGTTGGGCTATGACACATTCTACCAAAATGTATTTCTAACCTTTCAAAGAATTTTCCTACAACAAGCTAAAAATATTCTCTTAATTCTTACCAAATGCATTATGTTAAGGACTTGCTTTCTTAGATTAATTTGGATATATTTCCACAGTGAGGATAGTAGATCTCTGTGGGCAGGGTGCTCCTTGTCATACAGGGCCTCTCAGGAGAACTATTTAATAATGTCTGAAGGAACAAGCATGCACTTAGCCTTCAGCTCTTTCCCTGCACTGAAAAATTTTCAGTTTTACAAAAACTCTCTCCAGATCTGAGATTTAGATCACTAGAACCTTATTTGATGATGACTGAGTACATGTCTAACCCTGAGAGCATCCTTGTCCTGTTCTCTTAGAGTCACGTCTATAACATGACACCTCTTAATCCTTACCTACCCAGATAACCCCAGCCCACCCAGGACTACAAGAAACCAAGGGGAGTTAGAAACTATGTCCCCAGGGGCAAGCACAGCTACCCTATTCCCAGGGCTCCTCTTCTGTACCATACTTTTGTGTATTTGAAGCCCATAGACTTTGTTTCCTTGTGGTCTGGGCGGTACTGGCATAGGAGAACATTTTTTTCTGGTTTGTGATTTCATAAACCAGTATAGTAATGGCTTTTCTTTGCTGGAGGCTGTGCAGAGGATAGCTGAGGTGCCTTGACAGACTCTGCCTCTATCCTGATGAGTTCTTCTAATAGTTAAATGTGCAGAAGGTAGAGGCCTAGCTGTGACTTTCTGGAATTTTCCTAATAAACTGCAAATAGGACTTTTTGACCTTGGGCTTTTATAATATTTCCTTTTTTCCCTACCTTCTCTTGTAGGAAAGGAAGTTTAAGGGTGGATCCGGTCAAGTGAGTGAAAGGATAATGGGCCTTCTAGGTGACCGAGTGAAACTGAACTGTCCAGTCACCTATGTTGACCAGTCAGGTGACAATATCATTATAGAGACGCTGAGTCATGAACACTATGAGGTAATGCATTTTAGTCAAAAGTAAATTATAGTACATAGGCTGTGTGTCTTCTGCAACTTCTAACCTAATACATTCCAAGCAGTGGTATAATTAATGTAGACATGTTTGTTTCTCAGTCTGTCAAATTACTGGCCTTCACTGACTTACTAAGGTCAACTTTATTGCCTCAGAGTTGCCTCATGTTTTGTGTCTTCACTGCTTAGTGTCATTCCAAATGATAAAGATGATGTTTTACACCCTGTGCAAAGACTACAGCTCATCTTTGATGTAATGTTTTATGTATATGTGTTTCAGTGCCGATATGTAATTAGTGCCATCCCTCCAACTTTAACTGCCAAGATCCACTTCAAACCAGAACTTCCGCCAGAGAGAACCCAGTTAATCCAGCGCCTTCCAATGGGGTCTGTCATTAAGTGCATGATGTACTATAGGGAAGCCTTCTGGAAGAAAAAGGGTAGGCTGCTCTTACTCACATTTAAACTGTTTTCAAATTGGTAGAGAAAGGATCAGAAATATGTTGATTTCTTCATAGCCTTTGGCAATACAAAATGACCCCAGGAGCACTTGTTGGCAGTGGGAGGGGAAGAAGGCCCCACACTGAGAACACCACTTGTTGCTCTGATTCCTGGTATTGTCCTGCCACTTACTTTTTATGGGCAGAGTGAGTCAAGGGACCCTGTGTAAAGAGCTGTGTTTTGAAGTCAAATATTCTTGGTCTTCACTTGCTCACTGGTATCAATCTGTAAGCATAAAATGATAACAGTAATGCCGGTCAGGGTGTTTTGAGGATTTAATGAGGAGGGTCTGGGAATTGGTAGGTTTGCCAGATACAGTATTGCTGATAAGCTTTTTTCCCATACTCACAGGATTCCTTTTCATAACTTTTTGGGTTGATAGAGGTGATTCCTTCTGACATATCACCTCTTTTCTCCCATGTAGTCCAGTATCCAAGGCCATGTTACCATTTTTGCCATGTATTAGTCATAAGCCCTTTATGTAAAGGTGATTTAAATGGATTCTTGTGTGGGAGGAATAGACATCCCTGTACAGTCAGTGTGAGTATTTAATAGGAACTGGTTTCCAGGGTTGAGACAAATACAATTGCATAATATTTGCCCTCTCTTAGCGGAACAGTTTATGTGTTTTATATGTGTGCTTCTCTAATGAGGTTGGTCTCGTTTGCCTATTGGTTTTCTCCTGGTTAAGATTACTGTGGCTGCATGATCATTGAGGATGAAGAAGCCCCAATTGCAATAACCCTGGATGACACCAAACCAGATGGATCGGTACCTGCCATCATGGGGTAAGTTAGAGCTGCATGTTCTGCATTTTCTAAATTGTGTTGGCATAGATGCAGGCAAAGAAAAATGCTTTACAATTGAGCTAAAGAAATGACAAATAACGCTGCAAAACTATCTCATATTTCTATGTATTAAAATAATTTTAGTAATGGTTTGTGTATAGCACAAGAACGCTGGGAAACTACTAAAACTGACAAGATTTTGAACTTATATATATATTCCATATATTCCTTCTCCTATAATACTTACATGTTGAGGATAGAGTATAAAAAGCAGCAGGTAGATGGTAGTCAACCCTGCCAGGAGGCATTTGGAAAGAAACTGCTGTATCTCATAAAACCTTCTAAATGCAAGGCTTCTGGGCTTTGTCCTTTTCTCCATTCTATATACCTACTACATAGCAATGTTAGCTGTTACCCTGAGATGAAAGACAGCTGACCAATTAGGAGGCGCAGTTCAGTAGAGTGAGGCCTCAAGTGGATGGCATAGCACTTTTTCTGGTTGGTTGCTCCACAGTTATTCTTCACCAGCGGAACTTCCCTTACTCTCAGAAGTACATGGATGGTGTAGTGCTTGATTCTGTGCACAGAAGAGTAGAGTTGTGTGGAGGGGTGGGAAGAGAGGAGAAGAGCTCTCCTCTTTTGTGTCACCTGCCTGTTAGAAACTACCAGTCCAGAGAAGGAAGTGGGCATTCTGTAAAGGAAATATTAAGGTAGGCCACAACTGCCACTTGCCTACCTTTAGCCCTTCATAAAAATCATACAAATAGGGCTGGGCGTGGTGGTTCACACCTGTAATTCTAGCACTCGGGCGGCTGGGGCAAGAGGATTGCTCTCAGTTTGAGGCTAGCCTGGGCTACAAAGTGAGTTCAAGGCCAGCCTGAACTGCATAATGAAATCCTGTCTCAAAAAGGCAAAAAAAAAAAAAATCATACAAATAAACTCTGTTCTACCACACCCTAAAAAAAGAGCACAGCTTCCCTAGTAATCAAGTGACTTTTAGGGGCCAGTGTATATGTTTATGGGGTATAATATGGTACTTCAGTACATGAGGCCAACCTGAGCAACAAAGTGAGTTCAAGGCCAGCTTCAACTGCATAGTGAAGCCCTGTCTCAAAAAGGTTAAAAAAAAATCATACAAATAAACTCTATTCTACCACACCCTGAAAAAGAACACAGCTTCAGTAGTAATCAAGTGACTTTTAGGGGCCAGTGTATATATTTATGGGGTATAATATGGTATTTCAGTACATGTGTGCATTAGGAAATGATCAAATTAGGCTAATTAGCATATTCATCACCTCAAATAGTTATTTCTTCATGGCAAAAACATTTGCAATTCTCTTATACATTATTATTACCTATAGTAACCCAACTGTGCAAACAGATCACCAGAATTTATTCCTCTAGCCTAACTGAAACTTTACCTGTGGAAGACCAGCATATATCTCCCTGCGATAAGAAGGATCATTGAGTTAAAGACAATTAAGATGTAAGCTTTCTGCATTCTGTCTGCCTATGAGCAGGACAGAGATTAACAGACAATAGGTTTCTCTGTCCTTCCCCCATCCTCACCTGAACACAAGGCAAATTCTCCTTTATTGGAAACAACTTTTTACCAGCTCAGAGACAGAGCCAGAGGAATCTGCAAGCAGACTTTACTCCATTAATGTCTTCCCATATACTTACCTTCCCAGTCTTCCACCTTTGGATGCCTAAAGATGCTTTCCTTTGGCTCTAAAATTTGCCATTCTTTGTTCGATGTACTATATAAGCCAGACTCATAAACCACTACCTTGAGTTACTTTTCACCAAGGTGTCTTCCACATGATAACCAACTTGGTTACTTTTCTCTTGCTAAACTGTCTTTTGTTGCATAAGTCTGTCCCAACTATGAATCTATGAAGGTTGAAGAGAAATTATTATTTCTCCTTCATACCTATTGACCAGCATCTCTCTTGTTTTATTAAGACAGTTACCTCCACCCTGCACTTTGTTCTTGGCCATGAAAGTCTCAAAGACAGGTGGTACTCGCCCAGCACTGTATCTAATACCCATCACCTTTTAGAAACTGGAAGGGACCTTGAACTTTAGAACTGTGAAATATGCCCAACACAAAGCCAGTATTTTTATTTCCACAATAAACCACCAAATAAAGTTGAAGCAGATTTGTTCATAGTTGAACCAAAGAGGTTATTTCATTCATGACCTGAGATTTGACAGAAATAGCCAACACTAACTTATTGTTAGTAAGGAACTTACAGTTTCTTTGGAAAGGAATTATAAAAACCATACAAGATGAGTTGACTTAAAAGGTTGTTAGATAAATCATTTAATCTTTTATCAGAGATCCCTGATTTTCTTTAAAATACTGTATAAGTCTAAACTTAGTGAATCCTGCATCAGCCTAAAATTTAAATAAGGTCATTAATAATGAAGGTTATTAAGGTGTTAAATAAAATTAGGACTATATCCCATAAAGTTCAGTAGTTCAAATTTCTTAACTATATCTCGACTTCCTCTGAATAACTGTTCTCTGGGTTAACACACTGTATTTTCGCTTTCCAGAATGAGCTCAAATCACAGCCCTAAAGGAATTGCCAGTATAATTGAGGAACAGTTTAATTTGGGGGTGGAGAGAAGAGGAAATACTGTTTCAATCTAATCCCTAATCCAATCTTTTTGGTCTAGAACACCAACAACAAAAAATACAGTCTTGAAACTTTCTTTTCAGAGCTGGGAATGAAATCTGTGGCCTCACGCATGTGAGGCAAGCACTTTTTTCTCTGAGCTACATCCCCAGCCCCATAAAACATTTTTAAATGGAGAAATGATTGCATTGTCTTTAGTAATTTGGACTTTTTATTACTGCACCTAGCACAAATGCTACCACTGAGCTATATCTCTAGTCCTCATTTGGATTTTTGAAAGCTTTCTAAGAATAGTCTAAGGACTTTATATCACAACTCAATTATTTAAAATATACATTCAATTAGTAATATCAGTATAATAAGTAAAATCTAATTGATTAAAGGTAAACAGAATATAACTGAGTTTTACTGAGCTACTTTATTTGATGACCATTGTTAGGTCAATTTCCCAAGAAACTGACCCACAGATATTTAGGCACAGCAGGTTCATTTGTTGTTGTTTTTTCATCTTGTCATTGTTTATTTATATTTTTTTTATTTTATTTTAAAAATAAAAGGAAAACATTAACAGAAAGACAACCTTTTACAAAATAGCCAAAGAACAGTACAGACAATACAGAGTTACAAACAGAGTGGTAGGAAAATAACAATGCTTGTTGTATTACATATTGATATCTTCAAAGTGGTTTCTCATGAAAACAGATAGAGACATGCAATATTGATCAGTGAAGGACTCACTGACAGTTTCTTTCAGCAAAGAAATCAAAGATAGTAGATCAACTATGTTAACTATCCTGTATATACATACATACAAAATTTCTTCTTCTTTCCCTTCTCTTTTCCCACATCCCAGTAGCCTTTACCCTTGAGTGTTTTCCTGTCATTTCACAATGTGTATCATACCTCCTAGTTTAAATTAACTCTTTCAGGTTTTACACTAGTGAAACAATGCAGTGCTTGCACATGCAGGTCTGATTTATTTCATTTATGAGTATGGTCTCTACTTGTGATCATTTACCTATAAAAGCCTCGAGTTCATCTTTCTTTATAGCTGAGTAATATTGCATTATATAAAAGTACCACAATTTTCTTATCCAATCCATCCACAGCAGGTTCATTTGGAAGTGCTCTGTGGATTACTGCCTGTAGGGGAGTGGAACAAATCAGGATCAGGCCAAAGGAGAGTTGGGCTGTAATGTCCACTAAAAACCTCAGCCATTCTGTAGAAAGCTCTGGAGCTGGGCTAGCCTTTCAGAATTGTCTGAACTGAGCTTAAGGGATCGGCCTTGATACTTATCCCTCCTGAGAGCTGGTCATTTAGTGCCAGTTGCCTCCAGGGAAGCGGGGAGCTTTGACTCAGACATTTCTGCTACTATTGAGTATAATTGTTGGGGAAGGATTTCACCTGTGAGTGAAGGGTTCTGAGTACTAGTCTTGAAAGGGGAAATGGGGGTCCACCATGGCGTCTACTATGGACTCATGTCAATATTTGCCCAGCTTTTATCAAGTGTTTAGCAGAAGGTAACTCTCATTGCAAGGATAATCATTTAGTGCATTAATTCATCCAGCATTTGATTTCATATTGTATGCCTGCTGTATTTGAGCTTTTGGAGTAAAATATTGTGTAGGAGGTGATTTGTTGTTTAAGAGCTCACAGCCTAGCAGTTTTGAACATAGAGGGAAGTGGAAGACAGTACAGTGTTTAGTTGAGGGGGAGCACTAAATGGCAGTAAGAACACTTCAAAGAAGGAGAATTTCTTAAGATAAATAACTATTACCTGATCATTCAAATGTCCCCTCTTTTTCCAGCTTCATACTTGCCCGGAAAGCTGATCGACTTGCTAAACTCCATAAGGAAATAAGGTAAAGAATTTATATCTGAAAAAATCTATGAAAGGTTAACTTTAGATTGTGTTTATTGCACTATAACAGCAGTAGACTAGCATTGGTAAAAACAGTATGTCACAAATATTTCCAACCCCAAAAAATCAATCTTTCTGTATTTTGCTATGGGCCTCGTTAGCACACCCTTTTGCCCATATGCATGTATTAATTTAATTTTACATATTTATGTTTTCTTACAGTGATTGAGAGGTAGAGTTTTCCTACAAGATGTATGGAGAAAAATCATAGAAAACAAACTAAGCAGAGCCCTCCTGACTTAAGCTACGAAAGTCTTACCTCTTAATACTATCACCTTGGGGATTAAGTTCCAAGACAGGGATTTTGGAGGGAAAAACACATTCAAACCATAGTAGCTAACTTGTAACAAAATCAGGAATAGCAGATAACATATACTTTTTCATTACACCGTACTAAGCTTGACATTTTCTTTTGGATTTCCTGTTTTCTTTCCTTATTAATAATAAAATAAATACCAGCCTGAAGGTAGACATTTGGCTATGATTTCACACAGTGGCTAAACTTCTCAAAAGTTTTTTTTAAGGCAGAACCAAACTTTCCTGACTAACTTGAAATTGAAATGTCTACCATACATTGTGTGATGTCATCTCAGAGTGACATTTATTTCTGCCTTAAAACTTTCCATGGGAAAAGGATGTAGCAATAAGCAACATTTATAATTCCACCTCCTCCTTCTGACTTAATTGTCTATACCCATGAGATAGAAGTTCTGAGAGTTTTATAATGGTGTGTATTTTTTTAATTTTAAAGAGAAAAAAACAACAAAATAACAACAGTGAAGACAAAAGACAATTTAAAAAAAGATACAGGATTTCAAAACAAGACAATAGGAATTAACAGTGGTTGTTATATTACATATTATCTTCAGTGAAGTTGCTCAGATTACCAGATGTAAGAATGTAAGATTGATCAAGCAATTGAAGACAATAACACGTAATAAAAAATTAGAAATGATACAGAGCTTCACTAAACAAGATGGTAGGAATTCAACAATAGTTCTCATATTGTAAATTGTTGTCTTCAGATTAGTTGTTCTGATTACCAGATATAAGCATGCAAATTGGTCAAGAAAAAAAATTAAAGCATTAACAGTTCCTTTCAATAAACCAATAGTTATCAGCAATACATTTATCCCAGCTATCCTCGTATATACATAAAACCTGAAAAAGAAAGAAGGAAGGGAATAGTATATATTTAAATAGATTTGCAAGCCTTCACTTTGTCCCACATTATCTAGGAAAATTAAGGTCATATTTTATGAATATTTTTGAAAGCGATTTGGCAACATAACATTATGTGTCTTAAAATCTTTTTCTTATGTTACTAGTAAGCTAGATCTCCTTCCACTACATACTGTATTTTTGGCCATTTGTCTTGCTAGCTTTTAATGCTTATCTTACAGAGTTAAACCTTTTGCCTTATTCTTTAGCAAATATTTTTTCCAGTTGCTTGTTAGCCTTTCACAAATATTTTAGCTACTTTTGTGTGTTTAAACTATATAAAGACTAAAAAAGTAAATATAAAAAGTATTCAGCTGGTTCAATGTGAACCTATTCAAACAAATCCTGGCATAGAACCATTGATTTCTAAAATATGTGACTTTAGCAAGTTAAACTACTTAAAAAAATTCACCAGGAGTGGTTGTGAGTTAAAATGTTTCTTCTTTCAAGAAGAATTTAGATAATATGGCTACTAACTTGTCAGACAGAATGTATGCCAAATTTTATATTCTTCATTTGTTTAAAGAATTGTGAGTGTAGTTAAAGGCCATGTTTGAAGTAACATCACACAACGTATTGTGTGCACCCTCAGATACCCTTTGGAGCACAGGGTATCCTGGTCCACAGACCATTCTGTTTATAAAACAGAGTATGAGATTGAAATGACCATAACCCTCTTCAAGAATAGTACATCTTATACTTAAAAGATTAAATGAGTTTTATATAAGTTTGTAGATGTTTAAAACACAGAAGTGTGATATATTGTACTGTAGACTTATAAATGAGGTCATTTCAGAATTCTCCAATTACAAAGAAGTAATATAGAATCAATCCCTAATACTAAATTTAATTTAATCTTATTTTCCCTGTTTTTACCTCATATCATAGCAGGTAGTGAAAGGGGTGAAAATATAAAGGAAGGAACATTTTATTGATTCTTTAAATCAAATAACTATACTGAGGCTTATCTGAGGTTTGCTGGGGATATAGCTCGGTGGCTTAAGTGCTTGCCTGGCAAGCACAGGGTTGTGAGTTCGATCCCCAGTACCGGAAAAAAAAAAAAAAAACCTATACTGAGGCATAGAAAGTTAATCTGAGTACATAAATTCATTGACTTGTTCCTTTTATATAGTTGCAGAAAGCCACTGAGGTCCATTTTTCTGTGATAAATCTGGTTCAGCGGTAAGCACCGTAGAACCCACTGTATTTATTTTTACCCATCACTTATTACTTAACAATTTTTGGTTCTTTCTTATAGGAAGAAGAAAATCTGTGAGCTGTATGCCAAAGTGTTGGGATCTCAAGAAGCTTTAGAAGTAAGAAACTCCCAGTTTAGCCGGGCGTGGTGGCGCACGCCTGTAATCCCAGCACTTGGGAGGCTGAGGCAGGAGGATCGTTGTAAATTCGAGGCCAGCCTGGGCTACAAAGTGAGCTCAAGGCCAGCCTGAACTGCATAGTGAGACCCTGTCTCAAAAAGGCAAAAAAATAAATAAATAAAAATAAGAAACCCCCAGCTTCAATCCCCAGCAGGCTCTTCTCTACTCCCTGCAAGTAATAAAGCAAAGCAGATTCTGTTTTGCTGACAGTATTAAGAAGGGAATGGAAAGGGATGTCCTTATCTTGAAGGATTAACTTCAATACTTCTAAAAGACGATTGAAAACTGGGGTCAGGTGCATGGAATGTTAGGTATGGTTCCTTTGGGCTGGTTAAGGGTTCACTGAATAACTGGCAGCCAATCATGATCAGAGCCTGGAGCTGCAGATAGTATGTCAAGGATGAGTGAGTTTGGTTTCCAGCCCAGAGCCTCTGCCCTCATGTCAGTATTAATGCTCTGCTTCAAAGTAAAACCCCAGCTGTGTCATTATGTGGTGCTGATGGCACAGCAGTATATACTGACAAGTTGAATGTAGATTCTTTGCGTAAGTAAAAGCCACGCTAACTTATTTTTCCACATGGAGACTCAGTTCACAACTCATTTAGGAATTTCAGAGCTTTCAGTTCACCACTAAAAGCATTAAGGAGAAGGAAATTATTTCTGAAAAACCCATAATAGATGGGGACTTTTTTGGGGGGATTATCTCTGAACTGTTCACATAATAAACTTTTAGAATATAGTACTAGGGAAATGACAGAAGATTCTGTCTCCTTGATGTTGGGATACTTCATGTGTTCTCTAGTCAAAAAAATCAAAGTATCCCTGCTTTGCTACTTAGTACTTAACAAAAGACCATTACTTGGTACTGTTATGTTTCCCCTATAATGAGTTAGAAAAACAAAGTTTTCTTTAGTTTTAGTATAAATATTTTGTTAAAGTAAAATATACAAGAGCCTTTGTTACTGGTTGGTAGCATTTCAGTTTTGTTTTCTCTTTGAAATCTTCTCCCCATGAACTGCAGCCAGTGCATTATGAAGAGAAGAACTGGTGTGAGGAGCAGTACTCCGGGGGCTGCTACACAGCCTACTTTCCCCCCGGGATCATGACCCAGTATGGAAGGTACTGCCCACCAATTAATTCAAGACCTGCACCACATCTAAGAGAAACAGTGTCCAGTGGGAATTCCAGAAACAGCATTCCTATTTGTAATGTTCCACATAGTTTGTACCTTTCTAGATATCCCTAGAAGAATAAAGATGTCAGCACCTAGAAGAATAGCCAAGCACTGGAGGGGAGTTCAGATGTCAGTACTACTTGGGAGATGAAGCAAACTGCGGTGTCTTCCAAGAGCCCTTCTTGAGCTCAGCTTGACATTTAGTCTCATAGGATCACGCTAGGCTCCTTGGCACCAGTCACACAGGACATTGGATGTGTTTCACATATCTTTCTAGCCAGCAGAAGAGCATCAGTCAGTCTTCTGGGGGTGGGTCTTGCTGTGTACAGTTAAGGAGTAAGGAGATGAGATACAAATGGGGCCAGGGGTTCACCTTGACTTAGAAGCTCCTTGCTCCATAAAAACCATTATCTCTGTCTCTCATAGGCACAGTGTCCAGAGTCACTTGCTCAGTTATAAGAGACATTAAACTCACATGCAAAGTGACAGCTTCCTACCAGGTTTTTATAATTCCTTCACAGTCTTCCTGGCCTGAATGCAGTTTGCCTGTGTAAGCAGGAGAGGAGACTTCTATAGCATAAGCAGTGTGCTGCCCAGTCCCATAGGTAGCATTACACCTTCATCTGGTTTCCAGAAGAAAAAAGCTAGAAAATTAACATAAGGTCCACTGAGAAAGACGCACTTGTTAACCCTTCCTTTTGGGAGCTTTTTATCTTTTTCTTTTTTAGGGGATGCTGGGGCTGGAACCTAGGGCCTCACATGTTCTAGGCAAGTGCTGTACCACTGAGCTACAGTCCCAACCCTGTCTTTTTTTCTTAACTGAGTCAAACCAGTTTTGTTAAGGATAATGAGATTAGTTCTGGAGTGATGATTGGAATATAAAACACAGGACTAGGATCAGGAATAGATGAAGCTCAGGACTCCTGGTTGAAAAATGAGTGCCAGTGGGTTGGAGTGAAGCCCTCTGGGGTGGGATTAGAATGTGCAGTAGGAAAGTTCATGAAAGTGACTGCAGGTTTGGCAGGAGTCAGTTCTGAGAAGGTTGGAGAGGCCAGTTGGCTATTTGGTGTGGGTCTTCCTTGATTTTCTTTGGTAGGACCTCTCTGTAAGAAAAGCCTCATTTCCTTGCCCTCACCCAGTCCCCCAAAAAGGTGAGAGAAAATATATAGGTGGTGTCACTTAATGAGACAGACATACCATGTAATCCTTTGGGTGTCTCTCCTGCCAGAAATGAGTCAGTCTCTGTTTTCCCACCTGCCACAACAGCACCTACTGATGTACTGGGAGTGCCTGCAAGGCTGGGCTCTGTGGCTGTGTATGTAGGTTTTTCTGTCTCAGTTCCCTCTCGCTGGAAGATTTTTTTCTTTGTTCCCTGATTGGCTAAATCCTGATGAAACAGCACTTCCTCTAAGATACGTTCCTGATAGCCTTTTCCCCACAACTGATTCTCCATCTTCACCATCTCAAAAAGAATCATCTCAAAGAGAATGCAGGCTTCAGAAAAACAGTGTAGGGAATAAAATGGACTGCAAACAGGAAACACACAGCCAAGGGATCCAATAGTGGATTGGATGCATGTTTTCACATTCTGACTCTGGCTGGCTTGGAAAAGGTTAGCATCACATTTAGTGACTGATGATCTGACAGTTTCACTGTCCCTAGCTTGAATGTTGAGATGGTTGTGTATAGACCCAGGACGCACGAGAAGGGCTAGCCTTTTACCTTGGCCTGTGTAACATGGGTATTTTGTGAATAATTTGAGTTTCCCAGTGTGCTTCAGAGTAAAGACAGTAAAGGCTCATTTCCTCTCAGCACTTTCCCATGTCATCTGTGTGACCTTTTTGTTCCCTTGAAGAGTGATTCGCCAGCCAGTGGGCAGGATTTACTTTGCTGGAACAGAGACTGCCACACAATGGAGCGGTTACATGGAGGGAGCAGTTGAGGCTGGAGAACGGGCAGCTAGAGAGGTAAGCCAAAACGCTCTCACTCCCGAGTCATGGCAGCATTTTTAGCATCTGGTCTTTCTGATTCTTTCTGTAAATGGATTTATAACATGTTCATGAGGCTAGTTGTTTTGGGTTTTTTTCACAGACACATCATACTTGTCCATATTTTTGGAAGTCAGTATGATATGTCCATGCATGCATACAATGTACAGTCATCAAATCAGGGTAATTAGCATTTCCTTCACAGCAAGCATTTATCATTTATTGGGAACATTTAAAATCCCCTCTTATAGCTATTTTGAAATGTGCAGTAATTATTGTTACCTGTACCCATCCTACAGTAGAACTTATTCCTCCTCTCACTATCCCTGCTTCCTCCTACCCTTTTCGGGCTCTGTTCTACTCTACTTCAATGAGGTCAACTTTATCAGCTTTTTTCATGTGAATAAGAACATTTCTGTGGCTGGCTTATTTCAATTAATGTCCTCGGAGTTCATCTATATTGTCACATATGATAAGATTTCATTCTTCTTTAGGGCTAAGATATTTCTTCAGCCATCAATCTCTTTAGCTCTTGACACTGAAAGAATCTGTATATCCATTTCTCTGCCCCTCACTCATGGGGCTCTTCTATGAACATAGTACTTTAAATCTGTTAAAACTATACAACCTTATTTCATAAAACCATGGTCACTTTCTTTCAGGTTTTAAATGCTCTTGGGAAGGTGGCCAAGAAGGATATATGGGTACAGGAACCTGAGTGTAAGGTATGTCTAACTGCTCCATCTCTGTAGACTAATAACAGCACATAAAACTCACATCTCCCTTCTTTTAACCTCTGATTTCATTATAGATGCAACTATTGAGGGGATATCCATGAACAGTAGTACAGACTGGTTTTTTTTCTCCATGTTGGAATGAATTTTCTGCTAATGAATGTGTTCATTCATCCAGGATGTTCCATCAGTTGAGATCACTCATACCTTCTTGGAGAGGAACCTGCCTTCTGTGCCTGGCCTCCTGAAGATCATTGGGATGTCAACCTCTCTAACTGCCTTCTTGTTTGTGTTGTACAAGTATAAGCTACTGCCACAGTCCTGAACTTTCAACTTCTGGCTTCCATCTTACTTGTTCTCAGTACTACCAGTCACCATCAAAGGGAAAGTGTGAACGAATTAAAGGCTGTGTCATTAGGACATTTAAGTGCACTTGATTTAAATCCTCTGTTTATTCTCAGTCTGTATTAAAGTAAAAATAACCCAAAGAATTACCTAATTCATTTCAGTAAGACCAAGTTCTGTCTTGTCTGTGTAGACTAACTCATGTTTATTGCTAGACTAAAACCTTGTGATTGCTCTGTTGATTTCAAGAAGTTAATGTGTTCATGAGAAGCAACTGTCTTTTTCTCACCTTTAATGTAAAACACCTAATGATTTCAGAAAAATTATTTGGTTTTTTCTGTGTAGAGCTGGAGTAAGTTAAGATTTAGCCTATGACATCTTTAGAAACTGATGAAGTGTTGGTACAGAGCCCAGAAATTCACAGCTTTCTAGAGTGACCAACCACGACTATGGGCCAGGAAATTCTAAATGAAAACAGTGTAGGGAGCAGGGACCTGCAGGCCCTCAGACCAGGATGAAGACATCTTCTGGGATGCTGCCTCAGGAATCTCCTGACAACTTATAATTTCTGTGAATTTTCTAGACATCTAATCTCAGCATTGTCTTATTTGTATGTTTTCCTCTTCTTAGAGAGGAGAATGTTTACCAAGCTATAATGCTTAAATTGATTGGCCGTGATGTTTATGTAGTTCCCTAGATGGGCAGAGTAAAATAGTGACAGGACTGTCCCCTAAGAAGCCTCCCTGTCTCCAAGTGGGACCAATGACAATAGGCATCTTCTCTTCCTTTTAAAATGTGGCTAGACATCAGTCCATTCTTGTCAGTGAAGACATTCTATGCAGATTTTAAGAAAACAGTATTTTCCTTTTTTCCATGTAGTCCCCAGCTGTCTAAAGGTCCTTTAAAGGTAGATACTGTTTTTTCTTAAGATCACAGAAGTAGATACATCTCTTACCTTATATGACTTCAACATAATGTTAGTATGCCAGTTTTTCTAAAGTAGTGAAATATACATGAAAAATCCCTGACTAATACTTTTCAATAGAAAGGAAATTAAGGCTCTACATAATTTCACTTGCTTTAGTTTCGTTTTCATGTGGTTTTTAGTTTTACATGTACTTTAACATACACAAAATTGAGTGATTTTATAATATGAAGACTGAGTTCTTGGGGTTAAAGTGGGCCTAGAACAGTGCCCACCTATTGTTTTTTCACATTTGACTCAGATTTTTAAAAACTCCTTCCAAAGATTTCAAACATAAAAATATCTCCTTTTAAAAATGTTTTTATTTAAGAAGACTTAAATACTACTAGAGGAAACCAGCCAACCCAAGTCTATTAGAACATTAATTTTATCCTAAATGCAAACTTAAGTCTTTGGGCACTGATGTGAAGACTTAAGGTCTTCCAGTATTTACTTTATCCTAAGAGCAAAGAGCTGGATTTTCTGCCACTTTTTATCTTGCAATTCAAAAGCATTTTAGCTAACTTAAATTTTGATAAGGTCTTGGATATGTTCCAGTATATGAGGAGTTGCCGTGTGTCATACAAACTGCTGTGAGAAATCTCATCCCTAATCTCTCACAGTTGTTTCTACTCACTTACTGATTAACTCAGTCTTGATATGTGTTGAGAAATGTTGCTTTAAACTTCTGAACTGGCAACAGTTTTAACAATAATCAGATTGTTATCATATTGAAGTCTTGGATGTTGGAGGCTTCCTGAGGGTGCAGTTTCCCCTCTTCTCCAAGTTTTTAGAAAACCAGTGAATTCATTGTAATTAGATCAACCCTCTTAAGCCACAGATTGGGTATCAAAATGAATGCCAGTCCACATGTACTTAGACATGAAATTGGAGCTGAGAACACCCACCATATGTGAGCTCAACCCACATGAAGATACCATAGATCTTTTTTCTGAAGCAGAGAAACAAAAGTCATTTTCAGAGGCTGACAGAGCCAGCCTGGCTCTATGGAGGCATCTCCTTTACAGTTCTGAAGTCTGTGGCCCCACTCCATAGTTAAAAACTCAACTATGTGTCATAGTTAATTGTTAAATAAGGTCTCATACTCCACTGAAGAAAAAACTTGAATGGCTATGAAGTGTGTTTCATTTGTGAGTTTGGTGCCTACTGTTCCATACCTGAAATTTGCCCCAGTGCTAAATGTGGGAATATGCATATTTGTGTGATTTGCCATTAAAGTAAGATTTTGCCTCTGTGGTACTGTTTTGTTTGATAATAAAGTGCATTGCCACCCTTGATTCAGCCTCATACCCTCTTTTTTATAGGTCTATTTAAAAGGTTAAGGGCTTTTTTTTTCCAGATTTTTTAGTTTAATTAATTGTTTATTGGTGCATTTTAGATATAATGATCACATATGCCATAGGGAGTTTGTACCTGTACATGATATATCTTGATTCTTGCTTTCTTTCCCTGCATTCCCCTTCCCTCCCTTCAACTGCTTTTCCCTTTATCTACAAAAGCTTTGTGTCCATTTTTCCTTCTTGTATTTTTTCTTTTCCCTTCCTTCCTTTCCCACTGCCCCCTCCCAGGTACCCCATCCCATTTGAATATTTTCTTCCAATTTCACAATATCTGTTATACATTTTGGCCCTTATTTACACTTTCAGTTTCTCACACGAAAGAAATAATGCAATACTTACACATGTGTGTCTGATTTATTTCACTTAAAAGTATGGTCTCAAGGTGCATCTATTTACCTACTAATGTTTCATATTTATTCTTCTTTGTGTCTAAGAAGTACTCCATTGTATTAAAAAAAAAAGTCCACATCCTTTTATACATTCATTGGCTAATAGGCATGTGGGCTGCTTCCAAGATTTAGCTATTACAAACTGTGCTGCTATAAACATGGGCATGTATATATCACTGTAGTTTGACGCTTTTCATTCCTCCAGGAAGATACCAAGAAGGGGTAGCTAGGTCAAATGGAACCTCTAGTTTTAGTTTTTTGATGAATCTCCACACTGATTTTCATGGTGGATGCACCAGTCTGCACTCCCACCAACATTGGGGAAGGGTTCCTTTTTCCCCACAGCCCCTCTAGCATTTGTTATTGATTTCTTGGTAATAGCCATTCTTTATGGAGTGAGAGGGAATCTCAACGTTGTTTTAGTTTGCATCTCTCAAATGAACTGCCTTTCCACATACCAAAGAATAAAACTAGACCCATATCTCTCACCATGCACTAAACTAAAATCAAAATGAATCAAAGATCTGAATATTAAACACTAAATCTGCTGGAAGAGAGAATAGGTAGAATTCTGGAAGACATAGGAGTAGGCAAAGACTTTATGAACAAAAAAATCTGGTTTCACAGGAAATATTACAAAGAATCAGTGACTGGGATCTCATTAAAAAACTTTTACACAGCAAGAGAAACCACCAAGAGTGGAAAAAAATTTTTGCCAGCTGTTCCTCAAAGGACTAATATCTAGAATATATAAAGAGCTCAAATTATACCTTCCAAATTAAAAGATCCAATCAAAAATGGGCCTCAAATGAATAGACACTTCTCAGATGAAAAAGTACAGATGGTAAATGTGTGAAAAAACGTTCAGTGGATTCTCACAGCAGGAGGTCATATTGTGGCATGATCCTCTGGAGGATAGGCTTTAAAAACCTCTTGGTATTGAGGCTGTAAATTCTCAACATTGAGTTTGAATCTTGTGTTATTGAGGTTGCCTGGGAATGGATTAAATGCTGGCATAATGGATTCAGGCTAAGCCACAGATGTGGGGTTTGAGCCCAGGCTTTTCACCTAATTAGCTTGTACCTTGAGCATGTCACTTTGGTTCTCTGCCTCCGTCAGTCTCCCCACCTGGGAAAGGATGGGTTGCACCAGGCTTCTAAGGACTTTTCTCTGACAGCATTATGTAGTTTATGCATTCTGTTGCTAGTACTGTTTCTATTTTTGCCCGTTGGTATGGCAGGGTCACAATATTTAGCCTTTCTGTGCCTTTGTTCACTCCTCATCTTAGATTGGGTTCTCTGGAAACATTGTGAAGATGCAGAGTCAAGGCAGAAAGTCCATTTGAGACAGAGCTCAGGAAATACGTGTACAGGGGTGAGGAAGGTAGAATAGAGCAGGAGGAGAATCTGTCAAATGCAGCTGTAACTGAGGCTTCGGGAGATCCTACCGTGGAGTGGGGAAAGCCCTTCAAAGTTGCCCCCCATTGAGGAAAGAAGGTCTGCCCTCTGTGTCCCTTCACTAGCCACCCTCTGAGAAAGGGTGCTGCCTTGTTTGAGGCAAGACCAGAGACAGTTCCAAGTGAGGACTACAGCTAGGAACTTAGATCAGCCTGTATTCCCAGCAGCTAGAAAATCCAGGGTATAGAACCACAGTATCTGCACCTTTAGTCCCCCAGAAGTTGCCTTGTCACATGTAAGACATTGAGGACTTCAGTTTTTGGTTTATAGATAGAATGGAGTTATCTCTGAATGTATCCCTGTTAGATAAAGGGACATTTACAAGGTTGTATCTTGGCACCATATATGGAAAAGAATACCACAATTGTAAGGCACTCTGGAAATGATTCAATTTATATCTCAATAAAGGAATACCATCTACAGGTTACTGACAGATTGAAAGGAAAATATGTACCGTAGTTATAAGCAGGAGTCCAAAATCCAGTGTCTTTAGAAGCCACATAGCTAAAACAATGCCAGCAGTCATGAGGCATGGAGTAGCAGGAAGTACGGCTGGCTTAGGAAGTAATGTGCTCCTCTGAAGAACATTTGTATCTCAATTCCTTTAAATGATTGCTGTATTAGTTTTCTCTCATTGCTGAAACAAAATACCCAGCACCCAAATCTAAAGGGGGAAGGTTTATTTAGCTCAGTTTGTAGAAGTTTCAGTCCCTAGTTGGCTCCAAGGCAGGAGGACACATGGCAGAGGGGGGATCACAGAGGAAAACAGTTCACTGCACCCACAAGGTAGCAAAAGCATTAAGAGAGACCTTAACAGAATCTTTCTCCCCCTTTTATACTCTATATAGGCTACCGGGATTAGAGTAGTGCCAAACCAGTCAGTGGACAATTTTCGTAATCACACACCCTTAATCCCAGCATTGAACCATGAACCCATCACACACTCTAGATCCAGGCACCTCTCAGAAAAACTCCATCTATGACCACATGAGCCTTTGGGAGGATATCGAAACACAGTCCATAACACTAACCAATCAAAAACACATCTGAACATTTAGCTCAAATGTCTAAATTGTCCTCAAGACCCTTAATAAATACAAATCACTTGAGTGACAAATTCTTTTTGGATGCTTTTGATTTTGAGTGACATCAATGGCAACTATTTCATAAAACCACCTGAAGGGCGGGAGGTATAGTTCAGTGGCATAAGTGCTTGCCTGGCAAGCCTGAGGTCAAGAGTTCAATTCCTGGTACCAAAAAAACAAAAAAACCCTGAAGCAGGTAAGAGAGCCCTGGATTGGAAGTGCAGAAAGGAAAAACAAAGACAATAAAACCCTCGCACACTGGCCCTCAAGAAATAACCCTCTCCCCCAGATCATATTTCCTGCTATGTCAGTGTCATGATTGACAAGAGTGGAGTCAGACATTATTGGAAAAAACCCATCCTTGCAATGAGATAGAAATCACCACTCTTCTGTCAACATTTCTTTTGGTTTTTCTCCGGTACCAGGAACCGAACTCACGACCTTGTGCTTGACAGGCAGGCGCTTTTTGCCGCTGAGCTAAATCCCCAGCCCCTCATCTGTGCCAGCTATAATATAATTCCAATAAACATGACATCAACATTGAATGGGGTAGCTTCTTAAAACCATGCTGTTTGCTAGGTGGCAATAAAAATCAAGACATGTCCCTTGGCCGAAGGAAGTTACCGAGACATTGAATAGGATAAAAGCAAAGGAGGGTAAGAGATAATAGCAACAGTTCTCCTTCCTCTATCGGCACTCAGGGTTTTCTTTTCTTTGACCAATGCCATTCTCTTCAGAGTTCAAAAAAAAAGGCAGGACTAAAAGTGAGAGCTGGTGTGAACTAGTTGTTTTAACCTGGAGCCAGGTGTCTTAGAGTAGCTTTGGAGGCCTCATGTAAAAACTGACTTTAGGGAATATCAAGGTGTACTATGAAACTTCCTAGTAAGATCTCCCTTAATGCACATGTAATCCATAGATTATTACTTATTTACACTCCTTTACAGTCACACCTCAGTGGAAATAAAGTATTCCTATTTAGTGAGCATCAGATATTTTCCATGAAGCACTAGCACTGATAGATAAACTTAGGTAGAGTGGCATGGCGTGGGTTTATGCTGGGGGAGGACAGGGTGGGGACGAGGAAAGAAGAGAATGAGAGAAGTGCTTAAAAGTCCCCAGAGCAGCAGAATAATGAAGATCTTGATGGGTTGATACCACCAAAGTGAACACATGAACCTTGTGTTATTTATTATTTATATGCCCTAGACAACCACTCTAAAACTCAGAAGACTTGCCTTATAGAGTTTGTGATAAAAGCAAGATAATGCAGGTAAGGATTTAGCTTACCAATCACTGAGTAAGTATCAGCCAAACTGACAGAAAGCACTTTTTAAATGTTATTAGAAGTTATCACCTTGAATTTCTTACAATCATTCAACACAAACTTATTGAGCAACTACTATGTGCTAGGTAGGCACTATGCTGTGATTCAGCACAGTCAACTTAGACAGCAAGCAGTATATTCAGTGGGGCTCTGGTCAGTGCTATTACAAAAAAGCACAGGATGCTGTGAATGTGGGCAAAGGAAGTGAGATTTAAGGGGAGGTTACTAGGGTGTGGCCTCAAGTCTCTATAAGCATCTGTATTTGCAGCAAATCAGAAAGGGTTCCATGCAGGGCAGAAAAAGGAAAAACCAGATGGCATGACTAACTGATAAAGTGGACCTCAACAGGCATCGTCAGTCAGTGCTGAATGTTAAGACTCATTTGTCCTTTTGACCACAATTCACTCCATCAGTCGTTTACTGTTTCTCTTGTTTGCTCTGCCCTCCTCTGTACCTGGAGATCTTTATCAACTAGGATTCACCATCTTCAGGGCCCCTGTGCTAGGGGGTGCTTACGTTTGTTTTAAAAGAGTGCCATCTTCTGGCCAAATGCTGCTGTTTCTTTCCAACAGAAAAAAAATCCAAAACAGTCCCGGGGGAAATCAAGAAGTGACTTCACCCTGAACTTCCTTCAAACACTTATGCCTGTGATCACTTTGTCAGTTAGGACATGGGTCCAAAT